GTGTCCCCCACCCCAGTTGCAGGCTCACTGAACACCTTCTCCTCGCCAGACTCCACCAAGCACCGAGGAGGCAGTGGTGATATCCAGGCAGCCTGCTGCCCTCCCAGATCTGATCATGTTCCAGGCAACAAAAAAGTAAAGCGCACGATCGCGTTTGGTAGTGATACACGCAGGGAACTGAGAACAAGGCAGGAGGGGGACAGGGGGAGTGTGCAGGTGGTGACCGAAAAAAGCCTTCTGAACAGGAAGCACTGAGAAGAGGAGGAAATGGGGGCCTGTGAGCATCTGGGGGAAAAGCAGGAATAAAAGCCTTACAGAAGAAAGAGGGTTGGCTTGTGAAAGGTACTGGAACAGAGGGAGAGAGGGAAAGACAGCAGGAGAGAAGGCCAGAAGGTGTGCAGGAGAGACTGTAAGCACTGAGATAGAGCAGGACTTTGGCTCAGAGGGAGGTAGGAAGCAGCCCGAAGGTTCTAAGAAGATATGAGTCTGGTTGGATTTCCCTTGAGGAAAGGCCCTCTGACCGTGGGTGCTATCAGTAGAGAATGGACTTTAGGAGGGAAAGACTGCAGGGGACCCAGAGGTTGAGGCAGTCCAGGTGTCCAGGAGACACAAAACTTTGGCCTGGGGCCTTAGCAGAGAGCAGAGTCTAACAGGGAGTTCAACAAGATGCTTGTAGGATCTGTTCTGCTTTTAGATGCAGTAATTTGGTGAATTACTTTGACACACACCAACTAGCCCCTCTTCTTTTTTAACAACCTCTGGGCTTCTCCTCCTAGATTCTGGGTCTGACCAGAGCCCAGTGATCTGCAGCTCAGATCAGGGATAGCTCCCCACCCCCTCGCTATCAACCTCACTCCTGTCGCCATCTCCCAGGGACAGATGGGTGGGCGGCAGGAGACAGCTGGGCCTTCAGGCTTGCAGTGCCCTAGGGGAGAAAATTATCTGAGAGTTCATAACCCCTCTCTGACTTCTAGATCTTGAGTTAAAAGCCCCAAATGTCACAGTTCCAAGGGGGAGGGTTGGACAGTGCTGAGAGGCAGGGCAAGATGCTTTTCGGCCCTGTAGCTGACCATACAAGGGTAGAGACCTGGAGCGCTGGGAACTCCAGCACCGGGAACAGGAAACCACTTGGGCTGACCCTCAGTGGATAGTGATGACCCTCAGGCCACGTCTGACCCACTGACTTAATCACTGGCCTACAAACTGCTAGTGAAAAATTGGTGCCAATGTTTTAAAATTCAAGAATATGGTAGTAAAACTGAGATTTCTGACTTTTCTTGAATAACTGGAACGTCTGATCACCATGTTGATTGGCCTGCCCACTGTTGGGTTACAGCACCAGTGGGAGATGAGTAGCAGGTCCCTATTACTATTTTATTTTATTAATGGGAAAATATATTCACATGGTTCCAAAAAAAATTGTAAGAAGGCAATTTTCCATCCCGTCTTTATCCCCTTCTGCCCAGTGCCCCTTCAGGAATCTCATTTTCCTATGTAAATGCCAAAGAGTTCTTCATGCATGAACAAACATAAAAAATGTATGGTTTTTTAATACTTGGAGCTTGACCCTAGGAGTGCTCATCCAATGAGCTACATCCCAAATTCTGTGGTTTTTTTAATGTTTAATTTGAGACAGGGACTTGCTAGGTAACCCAGGGAGGATTCAAACTTGTAATTTTTCCTGGCTTAGACTCTTATATGCTAGAATTAAAGGCATGGGCCACCACACCCAGTTTAAAATAGAGATTATTGCTCTCCCCTTTTTACCCAACCTAATTCCTTTTCTGTTCCTTGTTCTTCCTTGCAAAGGCCTTTCTGTATCAGGACATGGAGTGGTCACTGCTCCAGGCCCTCCTGTTGTCAAGGAGCCCACAGGTTTTGTTTTTTTTTTTTTTTTTTTTTAACCAGTCTAATAGGCATCCGGGTCATTCCCAGTATTTGCTGCTATAAACAACAGATATAAATTTCTAATGCATAGTTTGCAAGGGTGCAAATATTTTAGTAGGAGCTAAAGAAAAATGATTGAGAACTGGTCCAAGCTGAGGGCGCAGTAGGTGAGGACCGAGCCCTCAGCAGGCTCCCAAAGTGAGGCTAAGTAAGGAAAGGTGACCAGAGCTGTTTCTGAGTGATCTCCAATACAGTCCAGGCACCATGCCTTGGGGACTAGACAAAGATGTCCAGATCTGCCTGTCACCTGCTAATAAGCACTTCTCCCTGGGGCTCAGTGTCTCTCTCTATAAAAGGAGAGGGGCTCAGGGAGCTGGACGAGCTCTCAGAGGGCCTGTCCAGATCCAGCCAGCTGAGGCTCCCTTCTTCCTCTGTGCCAGCCAGACTCTGCCTCTCTTAGCCCTTTTTAAAAATTTAGACAGTGCATCACTACATAATCCAGGCTGGCATTGAACTGAACTCATGATCCTCCTGCCTCAGCCTTCAGAGTACTGAGATTATAGGTATGAACCTTCATGCTCCAACTTTCTCAGTGCCACTGCAGACACTGCCCAAGCTGTCCCTCCCCCACACCACTGGAATACACCCACACATCCTGTTCCAGTGAGAGCTGCTAACCTTGTGGGTCACTCAGAACACAGCAGTTCACATTCCCTCCAGGCAGTCTCCTCTGCAGTGGCCCTGACCCGGGACGGGGAGGTGGTGGTGGTGTCACCCTGTACCTGACCCACACTTCAGACCTACCACCAAATCTTGCTCAATGCCATTTCCTCTAGGCACCTAAACTCTAGCAGACAGTTCCTGAATGCCAACTTTGCTACTTCCTGACAAATGATCTTGTGATAACACTTCCTTTGGGCTCAGTTTCTACAAAAAAGGGGGGGAGGGGAAGGGGGCTGGTTTGAGGATAACACCAGTGTGCTATCACTAACATTCTTAGTACCACTGTTGGATTCAATACTTCTGTAAGTCTTTGCTCCTATCTGAATTCTCACCTTCATAAATTCAGAGGAATAATGGAATCTCTATTGGAGGGTTGGTCATTTCATTCATTCAGTGATTGTTATAAAATACCTCCTGAGTGCCAGACACATAACTAAGAGATTTGGTGAAGAGAATAGATCCCTTGTCCCAACCCTCATAGAACTCCCAGGTAATTCCAAACAGACAAACATAAGATAAATTCCCAGTGTCCTGACATTAAGGAAGAAAAAAACTAAGGATTGGGAGGAGCTCATAACAGGTGAGTGTCAAGTAAACTTTTCTGAGTGCTGGGGAACAGGGCACAGCTGGGCAGGAGATCCAGGAGGGCTTCTTGTGGGAAGCATCACCCCAGTTATTAATTCTCAACAACTATCCTCACAACAGCTCTAGGAGGAAGTTTGTTCTATATTATTTTTCTCTATAGCTAAGAGAAATTAGACAACTTACCCAAATGTCTTGGAGGCATAAAGAGGTGGATGGGTTTCAAACTCAGATTTTCTGATTCCAGAGTATCAGTCTAAAAACTTACCTTGTATTATGTGCCTTCCATATATCTCCCTGCCTAAGGTCATAGGAGAGAAAAACACAGAGATGCTTCTTTCTGAATCACACTGGTATTCGGACTTCCAGACCAAATGACACTCACTTTAGTCTAAACGTGGGTTGTCAGCCTTGAATCCAGTCTGGAAAGCTCCCTTAGTCTCTCATTCCTTTCCCTCTGTTTCCAGTTGTAGGTAACAGATGATACCCCAACCTTCTAAGCATTACTGAGACCAAAACAGTCCCTGGATAGGAAGGAGATGCCAGGCTGCAGGGCTGCAGATGGCTGCTCTCTCCTGGCCCAGGGCAGCTGTCCCCCTTCATCTCCTTGTCCACTCAGGCAGACACCTCATCTCCTTTTCTCCTCTTCTCCTTAACTTCCCTTGAGAAGTACCAAAGCCTACTCTAAAGGCAGATGAAGGACTTGAATTTGGCTCTAACACTTACTGCATGACTGAACAAATTAAGTCGCTTTTCTTGAGACTCAGCTTCATCTATAAAATAGGAGGGAAAAATGTGAACAACCTCACGAATTTTGAGAATAGTGTAGGTTAGAAAGTGTACAGTGGTTAGAACAGTGACGGTCTCTTCAGCCCAGGCTGCTTCTCTGTGATCACGTTCCTACACTAACTGCTGATCATTCTCACCCTTAACATGACCCCTGCTCAAATTTTGCAACAGTTCCCGACTGCCTGCTGGATAAAGCCCACCTATGTGGGCCCCTCGGGATCTCATCCCTTAGAACTCTCCAGTCCCACCTCCCCACCCACATCTGTGATCTAAATTTCTTGGAATCATATGCCCTCCGGTCTCGGGCAGTTGCTTTCCCTCTTCCTGGCGTTCCGTCTCAGCCCCTCCCCTCTCGGGGTTGCCCCTCTTTTCTAACGAGGCTGTGACCAGAGGAAAGTGGGCGGGGTGGGGGGCGCCCAGAGATCTCAACTGTTGGAGCCGCTGTTTTCTCAGCCTCCCAATGAAGACAATAAGAGAAGGGATTTCTTAAGATCAAAGAAGCGAGTGTAACAAGAGAACACTCAGGAAACTAGAAAGTGGTGCGTTAGCACAGAGTGATTGCTAAAAGGTTATTGGGGTACCCCAGAAACAGTTGGTCCCCCAGCCCCTTCATTCCAAAACCCTAGCTTCCCACCCAGGTCGCCGCAGGGGGCGGGGGAACAAATAGAGGAGGAGAAGGTGGGGAGTGGGCTCTCAAGTGGAGTCCAGGGGGCTGAGAGAGGAAAGGATGTGGTTGGGGCTCCACGCCTCCCAGGGAGGAGGGAGAGGGTGACCTGGGTTGCTGTGCCCTCGCTGGCCCTCTTCCTGTCCTCGGAGGGGCCCAGGCCGGCCGGGCCGGCGCCACGAATGAATCACTGAAAAACTGGGGAGGGGGAGGGGGAGGGGAGGGGGAGGGGAGGGGAGGGGGAGGCGGGGAGGGGAGGAGGAAGACGCCCGCCCCCCCCCCGCCCGCGCGGGGCTCCCGCCCCCGCCCCCGCCCGCCGCGCCCGGAAGTCGCTCCCGCCTCCTGCTCCGCCAACATGGCCGCGAAGTCGGATGGAGCGGCGGCCGCGGCCGGCCCGGAGCCCGAGGGGGCGGCGGGGGGCGCCCGGGGCGGCGCCGGCGGGCGCGGGGAGGCGGCGGCGGCGGCGGCCGAGGGCCCGGAGGTGGCCGCCACGGGCGGCGCGGGGCCCCGTTACGCGCTGCGGGACTGCTGCTGGGTGCTGTGCGCGCTGCTCGTGTTCTTCTCCGACGGCGCCACCGACCTGTGGCTGGCGGCCTCCTACTACCTGCAGGGTAAGCGCATCTGCTTCGGCCTCACGTTGCTCTTCGTGCTGCTGCCCTCTCTGGTCGTGCAGCTGCTCAGCTTCCGCTGGTTCGTGTACGACTACTCGGAGCCCGCGGGGGCCCCAGGACCCGCCGTCAGCACCAAGGACAGCGGCGTCGGCGGGCCCGCCATCAGCACCAAGGACAGCGCCGGCGCCCTGGGGACCGAGGAAGGCGGCCCCGAGCTGGGTGCCCGGCCCTCCTCCGCCCGCGCCTATCGCCGCCGCTGCTGCCGCCTCTGCGTCTGGCTACTGCAGACCCTCGTCCACCTCCTGCAGCTCGGCCAGGTTTGGAGGTAGGAGAAGAGCAGGTGGAGGGCGCGGAGTCCGAGGAGTGGGAGTGACGAGGAGCTGCCTGCCACCCCAGCCCTGCTCTGACCTTTGCAGACCTCCCTCGTGTCCCGACCTCCGCCCCGCCCCACCCCTATTGCAGTTCTGATTTCTTTTTAGTCAGGTCCTTCTGTCCCCTGCACGCCCCCATCCTGCCCAACCTGAGGGGAGGGGATGGGCCACGAAGCGAGAGGAAAAGATTCTCTTCGGGATGTATGAGTGAGGGGATCCAGGGCTCATGAGGAGTGCGAGGCTTGGAATAGAGCTACAGCGCTTTCTCCAGCCTTGACCCTCCCTCTCGGTCTGTGTGCCCAGCCTGAACTTAGAAAAGAGCTCAGAAGTCCTTCCTTGCTCTTGAGGAAGCTCAGTTTGGAATCGCAGCCCATTTCCAACCTCCCAAGAGAGACAGAATTTGAGGCTGCTAAGTGACTATCCCACCTGAACTTCAGCTTTCTGAGGAAGGGTATGCGGGACCCAGCTGGGAAGCTTTCTGGCTTCTTTCAGTGCCTTCCTCCAAAAGGGGAAAGCGAGCTTGGAGTCTTGAATCTGACATTAGATAACCACGAGCTGCCCTTTAATCCTAGGATGGAACCGCAAAACTGAGGCTTTGTTCAAGCTGCTCACTTCCAGGTCTCTTTCTCTGCCAGGACTGAGGGTGCCTGCTGTGCAGAGTTAATTGGAGAGAGGGGGAATTCTAAACCGAGGGCTCCTCTTGAATCGGAATTGCTCTAGCACTTTGAGCTCTACATGCAGTGACAGATGAATTTACTTACTATATGATTGTAGGCAAACCTCCTCCCTTCACATCTGTTTATTCAGCTGTATAGTAAGGGAGATTCTCTACTGTTCTCAACTCACTGGCTTACCATTACATTTTTCATACCTATTATTATGGTCAGGAAAGAAGTTTGTATGAGGACCCTGCAGACTGAAACATATTTTGGGAATGCAATGGCTAATGATGATTATACCAAAAATGTGGGGAAGCATGGAAAAATTCACTCGAGATATAAAGAGTGACCATTACTATTGTTATATTATTCTGCTACTTGTTAAGCAGTCTGCCTAACTCAGAAGATCCAGTTCTGGGCTGAGGGTTGGAAAAAGAACACCCAGGGTTTGTTCCAACTGCTCACATGCTGTGTCACACTTGCTGTGTTGTTGATTCTCTTTCTTTTTTTTTTTTATCGGTACCAGGGATCAAACTCACGACTGCCTGCTTGCAAGGCAGGTGCTTATGCCGCTGAGCTAAATCCCCAGCCCCTTGTTGATTCTCTTTCTGCCTTGGTTTCCCCATTGATGCTTGCCAAGATGATGTATATATTCCACTTAGCTTGTCCTGGGGCAAAAAAGGAGTGTAGCACTATCCCCATAAGGTAGTATTATTATTATTAGCTTGACACATAAAAATATTCATGTCTACATCCAGAAACTGATCTGCGTTTATCATTCTGTGCCTGAGTGGACAGATGGTCAAAGTTATTTTTAGATTCTGAAATGGTAACTTTCTATTCTTGGTAGCCAAATTTTCATCCCCCTTTCCCTCCAGCCTAAAGTGGGCCAGCTGCCCCATGACTCACTGGCTACCCTCTTCCCCATTCAAAATCCACTTACGAGAAGCTAATAGCTAATATGTCTCTTCATTCTTGAATGTACACTGAGTTTTCCTCAAGTAGGGCAAAAAATGACCGGAGGTAAGAGATCCCGAGGGGAATGACTGGAAATGGCTAAGAGTCCACCGAGCTCCATATTTTCTTAGTTAAAAGTGATTTCCACAATTTCCCCATTTGTCAAGGGAGAGGCTTAGGATGAGATGACTTTGTAAGAGCAACATTCTACTGGCCACGAGTGGAGTCTGGCTTATGGAAATGTTTTGTGTAGTTTGTATAGTATTTTTAATACCCAGAGTCCTAGATTCTTTTTTGGGGAGGAAATTATCTCTAAAAGTCTCAGGCATGGAACAACCTAGACAGTGTGTGTGTGTGTGTGTGTGTGTGTGTGTGTACAGTAGTTGTCCACTCTTTCCTCTGGCTATACCTAGACCATTCTCTTGAGCATTCAGTTAGTCATGAGAGCCCTAATTTACAGTTCTCTAACAATTTTCTTATTAAGGACTCACTTTGTGCCAAGTCTACTGATTGCCTTTTTACCTGCTTTACCTCCTGCACCCATCCTAGTGAGCCTGTCATGTGGCTAGTATTATGACTTTTACTTGAAAGATGAAGGGGTGGAGGCTGAGAGGGGCATCCTTGCCCAAGGTCACACAGCGAGGAGCTGGAACACTAGGATTCAAGATTCTCTGCCTTTAGAATCCAAGTTCACTTTATCCAGCGTGCGGTTCTGTCACTGTAATGCCCCTCCCACGAGCTTGAAGAATTGTGAGTCTGAGAGTCCAAGATCCCAGGACGATAGAAAGTCAAGCTTCTGTTGCAGTGAGATAAGAATGTGAAAAGAGGGGGAGGGAAGTGGACCGTGTGGCTGAGGATAAGGAAATACTGTGTATTGGGAGAAAGTACTGGGTTGCAGAGATACTTTCAAGAAACTTGCTTCTTTATCTTGGTTTGTAAGTGACCTTTGGCTGGAGTTTCCACATTTCTGAGCCTCCCTGTGTGTGAAATAAGAAGATTAGATCTGAAAACCTTACAGGGTGGAATATGCCTTTCTGGTGCCTCAGTTTGTCCATATATGCTGCTGGGAACCCAGCTGCTGCTTGGAATGGGTTAGGGTCATCTAATTAGCTTGGGGAGCCTCCCTTAAATACCCCATCCATCTCTAGGGTGCAGCACTGCTCTCTATCTCCTAACGAGCCTGCAATCCAGAGAGATTCTGAAATGGGTTAGTGGCCTACTGTGCTCTTCATTCCCTGCACAGAGTAGAGATCACTTAAAGAGAGAAGAGGGGTTGGGGCCTGCAGAGCTGGAAGGGAATTACCAACAACCGACTGTTTTCTTTGACTTCAGATTCTGCAATTTATGAAGGGCGATTTCATGGAGATGGCTACTGGAAGTGAAAAATCCATATTAGGTCACACAAACTAATCTAGAATTCTGATTCTGGGTGTATTATCAGAGTTTAGGTGTCTGGACCCTTTCCCTGTAGCTTTAGTTCTACAGTGGCTGGGGGGTCTTTAGTTCTAAATGGCTGAGGGGGGAGATCCAGAAAAGGTATATGGAAGCCTCTGGGACTGTCATTCTTGGAAAGTAATAATGTTGGCATGACATGTTTGCTTCCCACACTGAGAAGTTTTTGCAGATGTTCTGAGTGGTGGGCCAGGGTAATGGGGAAGGAGATATGTCTTAGAACCCTGCAGGGTCAAATGTGAGAGGTTGGCCAGTCATTTACCTCCTAATCCCACACCCCCAATCCTGAATAAAATAATTTGAATCATAAAGATATTTTTCAACTCCTTAGGTTTGTGCCATGCCAAAGCAAAAGGCAAATGCTTTGAAGAGTCAGGTAGATAACACAGACGTAGGTATATGGGTTGTCGGACAAGGGAACATTGTGAGGAAGTGTCTTAGACAAGAGAAACTGCTACCTAGCTACCCTGTCAGTGCCATGAGAAATGGGGAACCATTATTGTCAAATCTTGATTTCTCAAGAGAAATAGGAAACTGGGATTTTTGTATGAACTCTCCCAATTTTCAACTACTAATTAAGAGTTTTAAAAATAGTATCAACCAAAAGAAATGCATTTGTGGGCCTTCTTTCTTTATAACCTCAGGCAACCTCTTCATAATTGATAAGGCTGTTTTACACAGAAGATGTTATTATTAAACCTGGCATGATGGCACACATGTGTAATCTCAGCTCCTCAAGAGGCCGAAGCAGGAAGATCATGAGTTCAAGACCAGATTGGGCAATTAAACAAGATCCTGTCTCAAAAAAAAGTTTCAGCATGTAATGGGTTCATTCCCAGTATTAGGGTGGGGGAGAGGGGAGAAGATGTTATTACTTTAAACATAAAAAGAGGAAATGCACAAACACGACATATCAACCATATCCCAGAAGGCCCCATATGAAATATTCTAGGCATGTAGTCTCATCTTATCTTGAAATCTTCCCTCTTCTGGCTGTTGATATACCCATTTATCAGATAAAGAAGTGAAGCTCCGAGAAGTCAAGTAGCTTGTCCAAGCTTACCTCTTAGTCTGGGAAAAGTTGTACCTACCCAGCTTTGTCTAATTCCCAAGCCCAGTTCCATCCTTGGCCTGCTATATTAGGGGATCCCAGAGCAATGTCTCCATGCAGTGACACTTTGAGACCCTGACAGAAAGCAAAACAGGTCATTTGGTAGGGCCCAAATCTGGCTGTGGGCTGGTCACCGGCTTGTGTCTTCATGCTTCCCTCACTCTGCCAATCCTCTGAGCCGTTAAGCCACTGAAGACTGTTAAACCAATTAAAGTCCTAACCCTGTCTCCTCTGACCCTGTGGGCAGTGGAGCAGTAAGCCATGAATCCTGCTTTCCCTAATCTTGAACTCATGGGTCCAGCTTTGCCCAGATAAGCATGGTTTGCTAAGCCAATTAGTGTGAGAGATCTGGCATAGGATTCCTCCCAGGATGTCAGGATCCAGGCCCCTTGAATTGGAAAGAGAGTAAAGGGAGGCAATTGGGCTTTGAGGGCCTCCCTCCACAACACCCCTTCCATGTCTAGACCGTAGCACCACTGCCTCTGCCTGCTAACAAGCCCTGTACTGAAGAGATTCTGAAGTGAGCCAGGGACCTGTGGAAGTTTGGCTCTAGGTCTCCCCTCTGGGAAGCTACATTCTTGGCATTATGGCTAAGAGGATAAACTCTGGATTGGTTCTTAGTTCAAATCTTGGCTCTACTAACTCTTACATATGACCTGACAAGCCACAAAATCACTCATCCTGTTTTTAAAATAGCGACCATAATGGCATCTACTCACTGCTTAGATTGTTTGGGGTTTCATGAGATCATGTATGCAAAGGATTTAACAAAGGG